GAGGGAGAGGGAGAGGGAGAGGGAGAGGGAGAGGGAGAGGGAGAGGGAGAGGGAGAGGGAGAGGGAGAGGGAGAGGGAGAGCCACCATGGTGTAGGAGTAAAGAAGATGTGGCCATGTGCACTGGCCCGTTGGAGGTAAGAGCAGCCCAGATGGAACAATGAAACATAGTAAGTGAAAACCTGGGGTTATCGTTAGGAAGGCAGATTATAACAGCATGAGGGGTAGGCAGCTGCCCAGCTATTATGCTGCCTAAGGCATATTTAAAAATACAAAGGTTGTGTATATCTTTTATCTGGGAACAAAAATGGTCAAAGGTGAGTAGAAACCCCACACCAGGATTTTTACAATATATTTACTACATGTAAATGATTCCATTTACATATTTAAAACCACCCAAACACTATAGCTGACATCCACAAATAAGGTACCTCCAGTCTAGAGGTGTAGCTAAGCGCTTTCCTGAGTCACAGGGATAAGATAAGGCAGCTGTCCTCAGGCCTCAGTCCAGCTTTAAGGAATTTTCCCCAAACTGATTTTCCAAAGAACCATGGGGCGTGGCGGGTGAGGAAATTACAAAGCAAAGGTTGTTTTAGACTTACACTCTTTGATAAATAAGTAGGTGAGCGTTAGCATGACCGTGTGGCCACTGTACAGATAGTCCCCACACATGTTGTGCGAGCCTGTGATGGACAAGCCACCTCCAGCAATGAGCTTCATTATTCTCCGTACTTGAGCTTCCCAGTCTCCAAAGAGCTACCAGAAAGAGAGAAAGCGAGAGTCATCGTTAGTTCACCTCGACCGTTGCTATCATTTTGTATATCATGCTTCATTGAGATACATACAATTCTCCTCATTAAGTATGCATGCAGTGTTTATCATTTTCATGTCAGTTCCTGGAAAGCACACAGTGCTAGTGATGACATATTTGGCTCTAGAACCTTCTCAATAGTATATTTCAACAGGTGTTCGAGGTTTGAGACTCTAACCCAGGGCCTCAAGCATTTTAGGCCCTACCACTAAGCCATGTACCTCAATCCGACTTGTTTAACTACAATGAACAAGAAAGAATTTGTGGCTAATTTACCATAATTTCTACTTTAGAAAAAGAAAATGTAAATCCTGTGCAAACATTTTTAGATGTGTTTTTGCCCAAAGGATGACAGTTCTGACTTATTAGCCAAAGCAACTGGAGGCTAATGGGTCAAAAGCACAAAACAAGGGACTCAAAACAATGCACTTTTAGCCCTCTGAAATTACACAGCAACACTGGCTGTTTTTACTTTTAGTAAGAGAAGTTTTTAACGTAACCTAGCTGCCTAAGATGCAAGTCTGGACTGGGTGCTCAGTAACAAACGGCTTAAATAACTGACAACACAACTTGTATTTGTTCCATCAAAGAAGGCATGCAAATGTTTGTATCTCATAATTGTAGCACCCTTTCGTAGCAAACTTTTTTCATAGGTTTATTTATTTTATGTGCATGAATGTTTTGCTTGCATGTACATATGTATGCCAAGTATGTGCCTAGTGCCCTTGGAGGTCAGAAGATGGTCCTCCAGTGTGGGACTACATAAGGGTATTTTGGTTCTTGGATGGGCATGGGTCTGGAACCCTGAGACTCCAAGGGAGAAACAGCAGATGTTCGGCCACGTCCCCAAAACCCAGGGTCCTGACACACAGTCTAGTCTCCATGGACCTACATTGTTCAGTCAAGTAGGCCATTACAATCCCTCCCAAAGGGCACAGGTAGAGGGTGTGACTACAGACCCCAGGCCCTAGAGATTTACATACTAATGAAGGCCAGAAGGAGGAGTCAATTAAGCATTCTTCCTCAGACCCTCCCCTTTTCTCCCTCTCTATTTAACACATGTCTGCCCTGAGTTTCACGGGGGTACATCCAGATCCATCTACTATCCACCATAAAAATAAACCCTTTTGGAACCAAGGACTTTCTTGTGTCTTTGGGGCCTGCCACTGCCAAAGTCTCCAGCCTTTAGAATTCCGGACCTTTCTCCTGTTTGTGGGACCTGCCACGTGGAAAGTCTCCGGGACTCCGAAGGGGCTTTTTTCCCACACCCCAGAACAGCAGTTATGGATGGTTGTAAGTCACCATGTAGGTGCTGGAAAGTCAAACACTGTAAAAGCCACAAGTGCTCTTAGCCACTGGGCCACCTCTCCAGCCCCTGCAGTAACCTTTTACATTCTAGTTGGTCAATTTAATCACCATAATCCCCCTTCAACATCTAACTGCTAATATCCCAGCTTTGGAAAATGCACATTTCATTATAATTTCTTTACAAAAAAGCAATTAGGATTTCTATTTTGGAAGAGCGAGCTGCCAGACCACACAGAGGATATGGCCTTCCCATCCTGATCTAAAGGGACCTTTAAATGCTCAGAGCAACAGAAGGAATGGACCTACACATAAAGATTCCATGTCGTGGCACATCAGAACTGAGTACTGGCATGCCAAAGTCCCCAGAGATTAAAACCAAGCTGTAGATAAAAGATCCACATGCATATGACTTTTAAAGACCACTCTAAAAAAGAGATTGCTTTGGGATATGGGTGGGGAGCTGGGCTCCAAGTTCTTAAGCAGTATGATTTCCAACTTAGGTTTTAGACCTAGCTAAACTAACAGTAACTAAACCTTTTTTTATATACATAAGACTTTAGACTGTTTGCCATGTCTATATTCTTCTCCAGGACCTGCAGAGGATGAACTCTGCAAAGCAAGTTAATAAGCAAAGAGAAAGGAAGAGCCAGGCCTTTCTAGGATGGCAACAAAGGGAGAGTGGCAGTGCTGTGTGGCTCTAACATCGAGTCACAAAGTGCCCAGTCCAGATACTTTAAAGAGGTCTCAGAGGGCATGAGACTCATGGGTTAGCCAAGACATTTGACTATAAAGCATAAATTGGGTGGATTAATATATAGAAAACTACTAAAGAAAACACAAGGCAAGTACTGGCTCCGTGGGAAACAAATTATTGTACAGTAATTACAGGAAAGGGACAGAGCTTACGGTGAGGAGTGTCTACAGAGCTGTAACTGGGTAAGTGCTGTCTACTGAGTTACAGAGGACAGACAACCACAGAGGAAGACAGGACAAGATGCTCTGTGTCCCGGGGATAGCAGGGTGAAAGAAGGAAAAGGTACAGAGGACAGGAAGTTCTCACTTTTCACAGCAGGAAGTTAATAACAGAGAGCATCAGAGCTCAAGGGCATTTTTGGCTAGTTTAAGGCCAGCCTACCAGGAAACTCTGTCCCCACAAACCAAAAAATTATAGCCAGATGAGGTAATCACATACAGCTGCCTGGTATCTGACTACTTGGGAGGCTGAGATGACTGTAAAGGAAAAAACAAACAAACAAACAAACAAACAACAAGAACCACAGAAAAAGAAAAGTTATTCCCATAACACTAGTAAAAGAGGAAAATATGCAGAAAGAGCTATGCATGTGGTGATCTAGGTAATAGTCAAAAGGACATAGGAAAAGGAGCCCAAGTGGGGTTGGGGTCAGGAGATCATTATTTTTCACACCAAGTCTAGTAGTTAAGAAGACAAGTGTAGGAGACGACAGTTCAACCTGAAACCAACACTGTAGTCAGACCAGACGTGGAGACAAACAACATCGATAGTGATGAGGAAATCCTGTGTCCAGTGTAAGGGAGGGGAGCCTGTGTCCAGTGTGAGGGAGGGGAGCCTGTGTCCAGTGTGAGGGAATCCTGTCTATAGGGAATGTGCTGTAGGCTTAAGCTGATGTGTATCTGTAGAGTTTTGTACAGTTTTACAATATATTTTAAGGAATTTAACCTTACAAAAGAATACTAATATCAAAAGTTTATAAAATGTTACAGTAAGCGGCAACTTATTACTGAGGGGAAACAGTCTTTATAAATGTAGCACAGCCTACCTGTGTAGTGTCAGGCCTACACTGTTATGTTCCAGGACTTCATACTCACTCCTTGGTCCTCCCAGAGCAACCTACAGACCAGCAAGTGCCATTCATGGTGACTGTCCTAAGCTGCACCGTAGTCATCTTTTATAGTTTGTACTGTGTCTTTTTATGATTAGATGTATACATCCTGAAGTCAGGTTTCACTTGCCTCTAACATTCAATGCAGTCACTTGCTATAAGGCTAGTTTTATAGCACAGAAGGAACCTTAGGGGTATGGAGTTTGCATAAGAATGAATCAGCCTGGTGACGAACACCAAAATGTACCCCTGTCGTTAAACAATGTACGACCACATTGTTAGCAAAGTGCTGTGCCAAACACCATGCCAGTTTCCCAGAGTTTGATTAAACCAAGCACTGAATGCATATTGAGTAACTCTTCCTGCAGAAGTCTAAGCACCTCACATAAGTATGAGCACACTGTTTATGTCATATTCCTACTGCCCTGATCTGCCAAAGATTCCTTATAAAAATGTTATTCAACCTTCCATTCATGGAATCTACCTACTCAGGCAAATTAGAGTGTATTGTTCCTAAACAACTGTCTTTCCTCCGAAACAGAAAATTCGTCATTGATCACATGTCCCCCAAAATTCCTTCTTAAACACCCAAACCAACATCAGGGAAGGTAAGGGACTACACAGCAGGGAGAGAAACAGGAAATGGATGCAAACATCTCATCATCCTGCCTTGAGCAGCTTGCTACCAAGAAAGCCACACGCTTGAAGATCTCTCTCAGCCAACTCCACAAATGTCTGTAAAGCAAACCATTCCCTGAGGGTTGATGGGCAGGCTGATGTCCAAAACTAAGAATGGATACTTATAAATTAACAGGAAGACACGAAATGTTCTTTAGGCCCTATTGGAAAACAAAATAGCCGGAAGGGCAGATTCCTCTAGATTCCTCACCAGGAAGGAGTTGCTCAAAGCTGCCATTTCCATTTTCCCCTTGCTTTGTTTCACCGTCCCCTTATTGTGCAGCAAAAAAGACACGGTGGGGTGGTGTTACAGAATAAAGCACCGTGTGTTCTTTACAGAGAGTCTAAAGTTTTAACAGGATTTTCCGTCAACTGTCTCATCATATCAACTGACACCTATTCGCTGGTTAAAAATGATGTTCTATCTTCCATCTGGCAGAAGAGGAAGTAAACAGGCTGCTGACTGGTCCCAAGGATGCACACACTGACTGGGGATCAGAACTAGGGGCTCTATCTATAAGCCAGATTACTCAGGGTCCAGGAGGTGCTACAGCTATAAATATCTTCGGAAAACAGCGGGGGGGGGGGCAGCATTTCCACATTCATACTTTGATGCTATTCTAATAAAATTTAATCAAATGTACCTTTTCTTATGCCTTTTAAAATCAAGTGATCTCAACTTGGTCCATGCTCTTCTGCTTTACAATGTGCTACATTGGTCTCTAGGAGATGTTATTAGTGTGTGAGACAGGTTTTCATCATGTGGTCGAGACTATCCTCAAACTCCTGACCTTCCCTAGTGTTGGGTTTATAGGTATGCACCATCACGTCTGGCTTACAAATATATTTATTGTTTACTCTAATTGCGTGTATGGGTGGGGGAGGCTGTGCATGGGTGTGCCTTGGTACCCATGTGGAGGGTGGATGGCAACTTTGCACAATTACTTCTTTCCTTCCACCTTGACAGTGCTCTGAGGATTGAGCACAGGTTTATGACAAATGCTTTTATGTGCTATCCCATCATCTCACTGGCTTCCCAGACACACTTTACAGGAATAACAATGAGCACAAATCTACCTCAAACTTTAACTACTTTA